TTTAGATTTACACACTGGAGAACATATCGTACGTACAGTAAATGTAAATGTACGTCTTATTACTGTAAGATTCAACAAAACAATTAAGTTAGTATGTTTTGTTTTGAATAGTTTACCATTCACACAGCTGCACATTTAAATGATTGTGTTACTGTTCTTGAGGTGGTATAATGATCTCACACTTATCAAAACGATCCTGTTGTTGTTTCAATTAGAAGTGAAGTAACTATGTTTTATAAGTCAAGCAGTTAGTGAAAAGTGAAACCAATGTGGAAGTGCAGCTGGCAAAGAGAAGTCTATGAGAAAATCCCCCTGCATCTCACCTGATTTACCTCAGTAAAACATTTTCCTGACGAGTCAATGGCTAGTTCAAAGTCTTCTTCAATACAGCATGATGTTTGTGTTGTAAATGATGGTCCTATTTAAAGAATAATAGTGTATAAAACCTTATGTGCCCACCTTCAAACTTGAACCCTTTCCCAGTGTGTGGTATTTGTTCACATCAGATCATTGTAAACATTTTGGTCACTTAAACATGTTTTGTTCAGCACTTGGTTGTACTTCTTGTTGCCCTCTTTGGAGCCACGAAACAGACTTGTTAGCACACAATTGCCTTTATTAACACCTGATGAAGTTGTTATGTGTTATAAAAACAATTGCCTACTAACTACTACACATAGACAAACACATTTAGTCTGTGGTGTTGACTCCTCAGGGATCCTATTTAGCCAAATGCTTCACAATGTTCAACAGGAACCAGCTGACTTTATCTCTATTCTCTTTGGATCAGCTCGGGAATGAGTACAGCGGTTCATCGGAGCTTCTTTGTTATGCAGAAATAAAGCTGTGTTTGGCCGAGCGGTAAGACTGAACCAAAACAATGAAGTTCTTTGTCCTAAAGCCAAAACAATGAGCTTAAAGATGTTCAAAAAGTCCAGGACGCTGAGTGGATCTCTGATCCTTTCTTGATGTGTTCATTACTACTAGAGACCTTTCACAATATGTGTGATAATTTGTTCCATTGTTAAAATAACAAGATTCAAATTGCATATTGGTCTGCACGTCAGCTGACAAAAGAAAGTCTCAAGATGAATTACTGTATTTTTTTCCCACTCCCACCACCCTAAATCAGTATTACACATATTTGGGTTATCTGTTTTGTGTGCTCAGTGATGTTGAAAGTATACAGGATTGTAAGCTGTGTGTCTGAGACGCCTCTCGTCTGATGCCTGTGAGACGTGGCTGTTTTCCACGTTCATCCAGCCCAGCCCATCATTGCTCCAGCTCTCTGTACCACCTCTGAAGCTCTCTTTTGGGGAGTATTTAAAAGGCAACCCCCCTTC